ATATATTATTATTATTAAAAAACTGGCAACTTTTTCTTCTGCACAGTCAACTGAGACACAACATTTCTGTCACCAGTTTTAAGTTATTTTATGTTGCTCTGCAGGTCTTCTGTGATAAGGAAATTGAAAAACAATCTATCATACTAATAACTGTATATTATATTATTATTTATCATAATAATATTATATTATCATTATATTATTATTTCTGAATAATTGTTTTATAATATTTTTGGTTGGCTGAAAAAATAACTAGTCAGGTGACTGATAGAAGACAGCCCTCTATGCAAATGATGAGTGAGATAAATAAAACTCCTTCTGTTTAAACCTTACACTATTACAGATTGGCCTCTTCCTTTTTCACAGCTGTTGTTTTTCTTCATGCAGCTTTTTCTTTAAGACTGTTTTTGAAGCTCATTTTGGAAGGTTTATCTCTGTTGGACATTTTCATTTAAGGGATTTTTGACTCCCGGCTTTCCTGAAATTTGTTTATCCTTTCTTTTATTGTTCATCCAATTGTTCCTGCAAATGAACAGGTGATGTCATAATTCTTTTTTAAACAGGCGCACCGTATACATATTCAGCAATCCTAACTTGACTGTAAAACATTTTTGTGTCACAGCTAGAGGTAGGCTGAGTGCAGTGATGTCCAGATCCACAAAATCAGCCTCGAGATCTCGGAGCCGCTCGAGGTCCAGGTCAAGATCCCGTTCCACCTCCCGCTCCAGGAGTCGCTCCAGGTCTCGGTCCAGGAAGCACCGCTATAGGTACGAGCGATCTTCCGTTCGCAACAGCTTGTTAGCGGATAACATGCATTTGCCTTGATTGCTAAAGTTCCACCCTAGTTGCCAGATCTGTGTTGTTAAAGTAAAATTTAAAAACTCATTCTTGAGATCCACTTTCATCTGTTTTGTGTAGCAAATCTTATTGTGGCTGACTGGAAACACACTGTGTATTTTTGTGTATCTTTGATTGCCATCTGTAGGATTTAAAGAGTTTGGTTTTCACATGAATAGACAGAGCTGGTGGAGCATATTAGAGCCTTTGAGTCCTGCCCAAACTCTTGAGTCAGGCTCTGTATCCACAGGAAATTAATATTTGAGAGTTCAGCTCCCGGTTAGTGAATTTAGTTAAGGTAGTCTAATATAATATTGCACAGTGGCATATGGGAATGTTTTGTACCACATTTCACAGTATTTTGAAAGGCATTTTGTGATGTGCTTTTATGTCGTGAAGCTTTGACTGAAGGGTTTTCTGCTGACTTTGATGTGCTTTCTTAAGAAACAGTAAGGCTTCAGTCTGATGCCTTTGCCGCTACTGGTAGAGTGGCAATAAAATGACAGGCTAGCTCATTTCCTGGCAGTGTTACAGCTTGTATTAAAATTAGCATAAATAAGAGTTATGGAAGGAATTTAATGGTCTACTCTTCCTGAAGCTACCTTGCACGTGTGCAAATGGCTTTGTGGGAAGGCAAAACAGGACTGGAAAAGTGTGAATGCACACCTTTGTACAAGTTTGAAAACAACAAAAATGTAAATACAAAAACAGAAAAAAGCATATCCCCGCCCACCCTCTGCGCACACACACACGCACGCATGCACGCACAAATAAATAGTTAATTTCCTGCATGTTTTACATGGGCAGCATGTTAGAACAAGAAACAGTTGTCAGGTTAAAGAGCATTTAAAGGTGCAGCTTTGACAGTCTGCTGGGTGGAAACATGTTGTCAAATGTTGCCAGTGCGAAGCTTAAACTCTGATCTTGCTATAACACACTTAGTAATTAGAGCCACAGTTTACAGAAGTACATGGTCTGAGCTCTCGCTTGGCTGATTTTTTACTCACTGACAAGTCATAGCAGGAAGCTGAAAGAAAATAATATCCACAACAATTTGGTGGAACAGATTTGCCATGTGTGACACAATATTCTGTCATTAATCCTCTCCAAACGTGCTGAAAAGCCCTTTTAACTGGCAGGCATAGAGTCAAAGAATTCAGGCAGTAGTAGATTTCCCACCCTTATACGGTCCATGTGACTCCCTGTTCCACCAGAGCTGGGCAGAGGAGATGCAGTATTTGTAGCTCGCACTGTGCAGTGCTGCTCATTGCACTGCCTCTGTATTCCAATGAGAAAGCACACTAGGTGAGTTACATGCTTCTCTTATTTCTTTTTTTTTTTTAAATTTAAGTTCATTTATCTAGTTTAGTATTATGTTTGCATGTACTTTGGCACAGCTTTAATTCATTAATCTAGACTTTTGCTCTGCAGCATTTTTTAGATTTTAAATTATTTGTAAATCACTTCATACTCTTAACATTTTAGGAGGGTGGTGGTGAGAAATGCATCCTTTATAAAAGCTGCTGAAGATGCAGTTAAATACAAGTAGCAGTAGATACTTTGCACTACTACTTTGAAGTCTGAAACAGTTATACTCTCAAATATGACAGTGGACAGCTGTGGACACAGTGTTGAAATGTACTTTTAAAAGCATGGTGTTCTGATTAAATTGCTGATTTGAGAAAACTGAAGAACAGACTGTTATAATCTGAAGCCCTGGTAAAAAGTCAAGGCTAGCACGCTGTGGAAGGCTTTTTATTGGAAGTGCAGCATCGCCACCCTGTGGTCTAATCTGACCTTGCAGTATGCTCCGCAACATGTTGTGTTCTCCATGTGTTATCATAATAACATATATTCAAGTGTTATACATCGTCACAGGATTATTTTCAAAACATTTGTTTCAAAATATTAAGGGTTGTTATTATTTTCAAAATGATCCTGAATAATAGGAGCTGTGTGTTTTTCTTCTGTAAACTTCCCTAGAATTTGAATAGTTATGAATAGATATGTCATTTCAATTTTTCAGACCAGCAATAAACGTTGTTTTTTTTTTAAACAGTTGTAAGCAATCATCCAAGTACTCCTAGTTTTGTATGTCACTGAGCCAAAGCAAATATGCTCCGCCTTTTTCCCTTTTATATTAACCAAGCATCTGTCTGTCTCAGCTCTAAACTGTTAATTGTAGGTGGTTTATAGTTTCTGGTAGTGTTGTTTCACATAAGATCTACTGTTTCTATTTTGGAGGCAATACATTATTGAGAAAATGTATCTATATCAAACTCTGTAGAAATAAACGTAATGTTTTCGTTGTCTTCTTTATTCATTCACAGCTCTAGATCTCGGTCTCGGTCAAGGTCAAGATCAAGATCAAGATCTTATTCTCCATCCTATAACCGGGAGAAGAAATATCCGCGAGGTTACCAGAACAACCGGGACTTCCGGGGCTATCACCGCGGCTTCCGTAGGCCATATAACTTCAGGGGTCGAGGACGGGGCTACTTCCCACGTGGACGCTACCAACGAGGTGGACGTGGCTACAATAACAACAACTATCATCAGAACTGGAAGAATTTCAGGCAGCATCCTCAAAAACAGCAACAAAATCATCAGAAACAACAACAGCAACAGCATTGGCAACAGAAACAACATCAAAACCATTCACAAGGACGCTCTCAGAAACACTGTGGGACCTCCCCTCATGGTCAATCTCACCAGTCCGACAAATCCTGTTCTCCTTTATCCAGACACTCGCAGCATTCTTCTGCCTCATCACACTCCTCCTCTCCTAAATGCAGGCCGGCCTCCCTGCTCGCTAACCAAACCTCAAAAGATGTGAAAGATGAGCAGCTGGCTTCCAAGGACGTTCAAAAGGGAGGAGAGGGAGAGGATGAGTCAGGGGAGCGTGTTGAGTTATTGGCAGGAGATGATATAGAAGGTGCTGGCGGTGGGAGAACTGAGGGGAACTGGAAAGGCCTGACAAACTACAGCAGCAGTCCAAAGAAAAACAGTCCGCTGGCAGGCTCTGCTGCTACTGTTGGTCAGAGCAGTCAAACGGCTAACCAGTCTAGCCCCACTAAAAACACAGGCATCACACCCAATGGCACCCCCACCTGGCAGATGGTGTGTGGTTCATCCTCGGCTAAAAAACCTTCAAATGAAGGTCTAAATCAAATCCTTTCCAGCTTTGACATCTCCAAAGAAGACTACCTGGATAGAGATAAAACAGCAATCTCCATTGCATTCAGGAAGTAAGACCAGTTTTACTCATGACAATTTTTAGTAACTTGAAACACAAATTGTTGTTTGGTTCTTCTGTTTGGAGCCTCACATAATGCAGATTGTGGATTTTTGGGTTTGATTCCATATTAATGGATAGATTAGGTTTTCCAGCAATATAGTTACAAATTAGTTAGAAATCTATTACAAATAAGTAGCCTGGCTCGGCTGTGTGTGCAGGACATGTAACAGAGTATGTATCAGAGCTGAGCAGACAGTGGTGCGACAATAAACAATGAAAAAAAGTCAACATCAGGCAAATGTACCAGAAGCCATTACAAATATACTTTTGGTAGTCCAATAATGGACAGCAGGTTCATTTGAGCTTTACTTTGGGTAAACTACACAACCATTTCATATTTGCATTTTATAAACTTTGCAAGCTTCAGCTACTGTATCCATTTACAGGAATTCTAAAGGTTTTCCAAGTGAAAACAACATCCTTCTTCTTCTTTATTTTCATTACTAAAGTGCTTCCCTGATAAAAAAAATGCTTATATTTCACTGTTATTTTCATTTTTGCAGCTGTCTCACAATCAGGTTTTCGAGTTAGACAGAGCTTTTTATCTCTTTTTCCTTCTTTAGGTTTTGGGAGGAAGCTAAAGCTAAAGCTAAATCTGCTTCAGAAAATGCCAGGAACGCAGAAGCAAACTGTATGGAAATGGAACAAGAGAAAGTAAATGGCAAAGCTTCTATAGTTGTCTCTGATTCTGTATCAAGAAAATACAAAGAGGATAATGATGCTGGAGTGTCTCTGAACAGCTTTTTCAAAGCCTCACCATTTCTGTCTGCTGATGGGGAAGAAGAGGATGAGATGATCATTAAGCCTCAATTTAAATCACTTCCAAAAAATTGGAATAATGGAGAAGTGTCCTATAAGCCAAAGACCAAGGTCGCTCCATCAGCCCGAGAACAGTTTGAAGAGTGCTTTGCGAAATGGCAGAAGTTTGCTAATAGTGACAAAGATGCCACGGCAGAGGAGCTTTATCTCAGTGGAAAGCAGGATAAAACAGCAGCCACTGCCGCTGCCAAAAGGGAGTTAACGGGAAAATTCAAAGAACTGTCCCCAGACTTGATTTGTAAAGCCAGGAAGACGGCAGAATCTCTATCTATCCCATCTCCTACACCACCATTGCGGAGGAACTCTGACAGAGACACGTTTGAGGTCAGAGTAGAGGACCCGCCTGTCATGTCCTCAAGAAAACAGGAAGCAAAATTTAATGTTAGAATGGATTTCCTTGGAGATAGCCTGATAAGGTGAGCCTTGTTCAATAGGTTCAATAATTCTTTTTTTAATGTTATGTCATTATTCATTCAAAAGAAATTCAAGAGACTAAAGAACTTATCATTTCAGTTCGTCAGATATTTTAGCTGAAGAGCGACAGTTGTCTCAGGACCTTGTACAGTCCTCTAAAAAGGATCAGGAATTTCGCTCCATCTTCCAGCATGTAAAGGCTGCACAGTTACAAAGAAGTCCCTCTGAGCTGTTTGCTCAGCACATTGTCACCATTGTTCACCACATCAAAGGTGAGTCTTCTGTGTCTAAACCATATCGAGCGATTGCAAATCATTACCCTCGATACCCTCTATGATGCAAAATTCATAGAACAATCAAATATTTTGTCTTGACTGATTTTCAGCATTATTATTCACAATGGCCTCTTGAATAAAATGTGACGTAACCATAGCTTTTGCTTCTTACTTTGTTACCAAATCAGCTCAGCACTTTCCATCTTCTGGCATGACTCTAAATGAGCGATTCACCTTGTACCAAAGACAAGCTGCAGAGAAGGAAATGATGAAACCAAGAAAAAGTCCAGAGATACACAGGTAGAGTCGCCTATTGAGTGACCCCTCTCACCTTCAGTGTGCTGTGGCTTCACCTCCTCTTTTAACAGCTTTCAGGTATTTTTTTCTCACCTTTCCTCCCTGATAATCTACAGACTATCTTGGCTTATTTGTTCTCATGCTTGGTGGAGGTCAGTTTTACTTTCCCAGCAGTTTTCTTTTTTTCTGTTTCGTGTTGTCTTTCCAGTTCAGTGTTGCTGACCGTTTGTTTGTTATGGCACGTGTCTTGCATTTCTTTTATCCCATCCTGATTTCTTTCTTGCAGGCGAATCGATGTTTCACCAAGTGCTTTTAAGAAACACCCTCAACTTTTTGAGGCGATGAAAAGCTCAGAGGATGGCACTTACAAGGTGACTGAACATTTTGACGTATGAAGTATATTGGAATAAGACAACTTCAAACAAGTGAGAAAGCCACATGCCTTTAGACTGCACTCTCTGAAAGCCCATGGCTTTCCTTGAAGGGAGATGCTCAAGTCTAAGAAAAGCAAATGCAAAATAAGGCACTTTGACTTTGCTGTTTGTTATATCGCCTCACATGGTGAATGGGTTGTATTGTGGGCACAAGCCTGACCAAGGCTAATGAATCAAATAAGGTCAAAAATGGAAGCCTCAGTGCCAAAGCTGTTCAAGGGACTCTAAGCAATCGTCTTCGTAAGTATTCTTTTAAAAAAATAAGGAACGGAAATAACCAACAGCAAGCACTTCATGTGCCTGTGCTTACGTTTACTTGCTTAACATTCTGAGTAAACCATCATAGTATTTCTTTATTGATGCGCATGGATACATCTGGTCAGCTCTCAAACATGCAGAGGAAATACTAAGTACTGAGTAAACTGAAATTAGCATGAACAATCACATGCCTTGTCTGTCACTGTTGTGAAAGAGCCATACTGGTGGTTTTGCATGTTTTATCCATGTTTACACTTCGGCATTTTTCCCACATGTTTTCCAAACCCGAGGCAAATATTTTTCTGATTTCTTCCTGCCATCCATTGGTGTTGGTTCATGATACTATATGATAAGATATGACATGATTTCAACTTGTTATGGCCTGAAAGTTTAACAAACCTTTGTGTTTTGAAAAACACGAGTATGTGATGTTGCTGAAGTTTAGGAATTTAAATATGTGAATCTGTTGCTGGATATTTTATTGCTGTTGAATAGATTGGATGGATAAGGCTAGCTACATGTTAACTGTGCTGAACCACCTATCTAAAGAAATTATGAAGACTTTTGTGACCAGGAAGTCATGTAAAATTTGATCATCAAAACATAAGATTTGGAAAAGTAGATGTTTAGGAAACACTAAAAACATGCAAAACTACTGGCTTGGCCTATTAAATGCACTCAAAATCCACTCAAAAATAGCTTGGTTTTATTCATGCCAGCTGGTTGTCACCTGGGTTTTTGCCCTTTTCCCCTGCACTTCACTATTTAGTTTACAAATCCGCTTAGCTCAGAGAAGACTGACAGCCCTCCACATGCTAATCCAAAGTCTATCCACGACATTGTGTTCTGTTTTGATTTTGCTCAGGATGGAGGGGAAAAAATCAAGGGTGACCCAATGGACCTTCGCTTGGATATTGAACGCCGTAAAAAATATTCGACCCATGAAAGATATTATAACGAGGATCAGGGAAGAGATGCGGGAGATTCCCCAGATTCTAGCAGAGAGAGATCTGTGGAAAACTTCCATAAATACCACAAGAAATCAAAGTATGCACAATTGTTCTGTACTTGTATCTACCATTATGATGACATAATCATCTTGCACTATAAACAGCTGCATGTAAAGAATTTGCTTGCATGATAATCCTTGTGCAGGAAAAGCAAGAAGAAGAAGAAACGTTCTCGCTCCACTTCATCCTCATCTTCCTCATCCTCCAAATCTAACAAAGATGAAGGTTTACCCCAAGAGAAACCTGATTCAAAAAATGGAGACTTTAATAAAAACCGACTGGGCCAAAGGGAATCATCAGGTTCAGCTGAAAGTGGACATCCACATGGAGGATTTGTAAGGCCAATAAAAAACTTGATTTGTTGTAATATCTACAATAGAATGTAAAATTCCCATCATAGACAGTTTGCTATGTATCGCTATGTATTGCATATTTTGAGCATCTTTTCTTTTTCTCCAATTATAGCAAGTAAGAATACGTGGAAGGAACTGGAGCAAAGGGAACTATCAGGGTAACATTTCACACAGTAATCCTGTAAGCATGGTTGTACACCAAAAAAGTGAAGACTGGAACCCAGAATATACTCCCAAGAGCAAAAAATATTACTTGGTAAGGTTTTCTCATTCCTTATCTCTTTCCTTATTTTGTCAACCTTGATTTCTGAAAATATTTAGAGGCTGTGTTAAATGTAAACAATAGAAGCATATAATTATTTGCCAAACATTTAAACTGCACATCTAGTGAAAACTGAGGGTCTGAAAAAATGCTGAACAATACATACAGGTTTTGAAGCAATGTATGGTACCACCCAGGCACCATTCTGTTTATTAATAGCGGCATGGCTCCACAGTAAACGAGTCCCGGTGCTAAAGCGGCCTGGCTGCATTCCACATCTATTCGTCCGACATGTGGAGCATTATGAAGCCATGAATATGACTAAGGAGGACTAAACTGTTGACCAGCTGGAATTATATATCAAGCAGCTGCCAAATGCTTAGAATGGTTGTTAAAAGAAGAGGTGATGCAAATGGTGGTAAACATGTCCCTGTCATGATTTTACTACATTGTTGGCATCAAATTCAAAATGTGAAAATCTGTCCATTCAGCCATCCATCAGCTTAACCACTTATACCTCAGTTACACTGGGTTATAGACCTGCCAGTAACTTCCTGGCAACCACTGGTCACTGTGGAAAAATGTGCATTCCCCAACAAGTTAACAAGTGGTTGCTGGTGTCATTGTGAAATCAGTTGCTAACGACCCAATCATGCAGGCCTAGAGCAGAGTCGTCAACCCCTTAACTCACCAGGGAAGAAAATGTATCTTCTCTGGCTAGTTGGTGAGTGGTTGCATGCAGTCACTCAATGAAAGTAAAGGTGCTTTCAAAGAAGGCATGGTGCCCTACCAAACAGCTTTAGCATTGTTCTTATGTTATTGTATTGCATTTTGCACACCTCTGTTGCTTGTGAAGCTTGCACACAAGAATTTCACTCGCATGTGCTGTACCAGTGTACCTGCACATGCAGTGTTACAAATCAAAGTGATTTGATTTGATATTATGAAGTTGCCACGGTGACCTGTAATTTGCTTGCCAAACCACAAAGCGACTGCTAGCTGAGAAGTAGTGAAATTGTTAAAAGTGCAACAAAAATCCAGAAACATCTGACCCTTAAAAGGAAAGTTGTTCTTGTTCTTCAGGTTTGCATTGCTCTTTTTCACTAACACTCAGCAAGTAGTAACGAATGTTCAGTCTTCAATGCAACTATGACAAATTGCTATAGTCTGCTAGTAACCATAAGGGTCACAGGGAGATTTCTGGTGTAGCACCCTCTTTGTGGCTGATTTTACCTAGCGACAGCTAGCAGCCTGGTTAGTGAATAAACTGACTACTCTCTCCTTTGAATGGTATTTAGCTGATCATAGGGCTAACACAGATTTTTCAAAAAATTGTTTTTCAGCTTCAGCATTTAATGTGTTGAATTTGAGCCTTGACATATGTCTCTCACATTCTCCCACATTTTTAGCACGATGACAGAGATGAAGAGTCAGAATCCAAGTGGACAGACAATCGAGGTCGAGGGAGGGGAAGTTTAACTCGCGGAAGAGCGAGGTTCCTTATCCGCAAAGCCACTGGAGGCCCCAATATCATCTATCCAAAATGGGGCCTCGATAAATTCCAGGTCAATGACGAGCAAGGTGGCATGCAGAGAGAAGAGACAGAACAGGACCATAAAAGGGCAGAAGTTGATGGAGAGAACATCTGAGCAGCAAAGGAATCTGCAGAAAATCGTATCTTCTGTGTTCTCACAAGATCTGACTGAGTGATTTTATCCAATGGATCAATAAATGCAGATTAAATGTTTTAAGATATTCCTATGAAACATATTACTTTGTTTTCATTTCTTCAGACTTGACACAACCATTTCCTTATGGAAGCCCGTTTCCGCCACTAAAAAAAAAAAAAAGCTAGTATCCATAACTCGAAATTTCGAGTTA